CCAGGCTCGACAGAGAACCGCGCGACTCCCGATGCTACGTCATCGTCGAAGGATGCGATTCCGGTGGTGCCGGTAACTGTGGCGTCTGCCGATTCGAGAGTCGCCTTGGCCAGCGTTGTGGCGAGACCGGCGGTGTCGGTCTCGGCGTGTTTGGCGCGGAACCGGCGGTTAGTCGCCAATTGCTAGTAGAGAACGCACTTGATCTACCCACGGTGGAGAGATTGGTGTTGCTGCTGCTGCAGGCGACCGCCGCCGAAAGATCCACCCTCGACACAGCCCTGAATAATCAACATTGTTCAACTTTCGGAAAGGAGGATATTAAGTCAGGACTGTTTTTCAGTTAAAATGAAAAAGATTTGAGATGTACAAATTATATATTATATTAAAGGTTTTATATTTAAGCGGAATCAAGTGATATTCATTTATCTTGGGGAAATATTAGGAACATGGGAGAAATCGGACACATATAAAAGTCGATAAATCTAGTACATATTTATTTATTGATAAAAAATTATTAAGCAAATCAAAACATCCCGGGAATTGAGCAATTACAAGCACTGCATTAATTGTTACTTAAACACGTATAACTTGAATTATCAAGTGATTGATCAACGATGAAGAATTCGATAATCGTTTGGTTTCCGCTTGATTTCCATTTGATTTTAGCTTTGAATAACGAATATGTTTATCAAATTATGTATTTAAGTACTAACAAAATATAGTTTCTGTTGTTTAATTTTGGGGATATATTAATATTTTGCTTAACGATTTTTAGATTTATTATTTTTGTTAACGGTTTCTTCTATGGTTCCGATGTTTCCTTAAGATAAACGATACGCTCGACTCCGTTTAAATAGCCCTTTAAGGGGATGCTGAAGTGACCAAATTATCACATTACAGTCGTATAAAAATCTTCGAATTGACTGAACGGAATAAAAAATCCTTTTGTAGGATTAAAGTAGATGCAAAATTAGGAGGTGGTGCAATGGACTTTCTATTAAAATGGAAAGAATGTTAAAAAATTTTTTAACTTTTTTCGATTTTAGTAGAAAGTTGCACCACCTCCTAATTTTGCGTCAATTCGAAGATTTTTATACGACTGTAATGTGATAATTTTGTCACTCTAGCATCCCCTTAATATGATATATAATTTGTACATCTCGGAACTTTTTCATTTTAGCCGAAAAATAGCCCTAACTTAATATTTTCCTTTCTAGTCCTCAAGAAGCGCGTCTCAGTTTGTGATATCCAAATAACGTCCAAAAACATGTCCGTTTATTTTTTTGTTTAATAAATAATCTACTTTCTTTTGGTAAAAAAAATATGTTTTTTTTCTCAATCTCATATTTTTATAAATATAAATATGACAATTGAAATACTATTGTGTAATTGTAGGGTGTAACGCTTTAATAAAATAATACAATTTCGAGAATTACTGAGAAGATTTACCTAGAAGGCGGAGCGGATCCTCCGGTATAAGAATGCAATCCTGCTGGTCCACTCCTCGGTCTTGATGTGGACATAACGCTAGACGATCTGTGCAAAGCCGGCGAGGGTGGCGCGGATGGTAGCATCCGTGGTGTTTGCGGAGGTGTCCTGCCGGATGACACGCTTCCGATACTGCTGGTGGATGACTTCCTTCTCAGAGTCCTGCAATTTAGATACATTATTTATTCTACGTAACATTCTCTATCATCTCCGTTTGATTCATTTTCTTGTCTAGCGCACAATAACTCTCTCTTTTTGTAGTTCTCTTTTGTCACATTATACTTTGACGGGATAAAGATGTGTACATCGCTTTACAACTGAGATTTTCAATGTAATTACCTCTTAGTTGCCTGACGGCAAAGACCGGTCGGACAAGTGCGTCCCATGGCGCACTTACCTTCGCAAACCTCTTTCGCTAGAGCCAGTGTTTCGTAATTCCTCAGGGTGGATCTGCAGGCTTCGGCGTCGGACTCGGCGAGAGCGAGGCTAGGGAATCGCTCTTTCAACCTATTACGCTCCTATATCATGATATAATACGATAGAAATCTAATTTAACGATAACAATATAAAGTAACATCAACTGAACGATTTGAAGATTTTTGTGATAGAATAAAATAAAATACTGACGCAGAAAAAAGAAGAAAAATTGGTTACGGGAAAAAGAGAACGTTACACTGTATTTCAAAAGGAATAGATAAAGAAAAAGAAAAGAAGGTACTATGTGTACAGTCTGAATTTTTCGTAGCTACAAATTTGAAGAAACATTCTGTTTGTTTATTACTTACGTCTTGCAAACGGCTAGACTCGAAATCTTTGAGCTGTTGTTGAAAACCAACATTCGGATTTGCAATGGAACGACCGACTCTAACGACTTTGAGCGCTTCTTTCCAAGATAGATTGGTGGTGCTCATGATATAGGCCACCGCTACTGTCACGCTCCTCGACATTCCTGCCAAACTGAAAAAATAATTTTTATTCATAAAAATTCAGCTTTTACTTTCTATTTTAATATATCGCAAATTTTATGGAATTTTTGAATATTGTATATTTTCAAAATCACTGAACGTTCTTCTAATCAGTTTCTTTGACCAAATACTTGTACCTTCCTTGTGTTTACATCTTTTTCTTGCTCTCATTTTTCACTCATTAACAAGATTTGCTTTTTTAATCGATAATCGTTTGAGGGAAAAAATAGATTCGATATTTTTATTAAAGAAAATTTAAAATCGATTAAAAAATTCTATATCAAAAAGGATAATTCAACGATTTTGAAATATCCTGTATATGCAACAATAAACGTATATCTACCAATGGATCAGAACGTTTCCGCCACGAAGACGGGCGGCATGAATAAAGTCGTTGCACAGAGAAAAATATTGCAACAAATTCTGATCGGGACTGTCGGCGGCCAAGATGCATAGATAATGCTTGTCCTGAAACGCAATATATATCCCGAAATGTAATATAACTGTATTTTTGCAGAGAATATAAACATTTCTCTAATCTGCCCTTCCGGTATTATTCGGTTATTCATTCTAAAATTCGGTACGTGCTCTGTTTGTACTCACGGAATGCAAACGGCGAGCTGTGTCGTGAATAGCCAGAATATGCGTAATTTCGAAACGCTCCAACTGATCGGCATCCTTACTATCCTGATAATTACCTACGTAAAGACCAGAAAGCACCTGCGAAAGAAAGCGCGAGGAAATTACATTTTGAGAAGAGTCTTTTTTATTTAGGTATATTTACACCAAAAAAAGAAGTGTTTAATTTTAAGATATTAAAATGTTTTATTTTTAACTTCATTTTTTAAACACTTAAAGATGTTTTAGTTTAAAACTTTTTCAATAGACAAAACACTACCTGTTTGGATTTAAAACACTATGCGTCTATTGAAAAAGTTTAAAACTAAAACATCTTTAAGTGTTTAAAAAATAGGGACAAGAATAAAACACATTTCTTTTTACAGTGTAATATTTGATATTAGATACTTTATAATCAAGAACTCCATAATCATAATTAACTCATAATTAATTTAAAGCCTTATAAAGCGCGCTTCCTCAGCCGTGACTTTGATTAACAATAAGTCATTTTTATTTGTCATTCTTAAAAAATATTTTTATTTGTCTTTCCCTTTTCGGCATACCTAATTTAAAATATCGAACCTCTTTCGGCGTCTATTCGACGAAAGATTACTTAAGATTAGACGATGAAGAAATCCAGGTCAGACCGAAGGAGAAAAAAGCAAACCTCTGCGTGATGGATTTGTGATGGCCGTCGACGGTGCAGTAATCTTAGATTAACTTACTGTTTGCAAATATTGAATTTTGATGAAGGGTAGTGTTTAAACTACAGCTGGAAGCATACATTAGTTTAAACTCTACCTGCAGTCCCGCTTTTTTCGTTCCATGAGTGTTCGATCAATATTGATTTAATTTTTAACGCCCGCGCCGGTTCGATTTTATACCGGAGGATCGTCTTCTTTTCTTCCATATAAATGAGTTCGAGGAGCGAGTTAACGCGATGGGCGATAGGCAAATTAAGACGTCCAGAAAAGCAATCTGTTACGGCAATCTCTTCAACACCGTTCATGTGTGTGACATTTATTTTCTCGTCGCAATAGGCTACTACAAAAACATCCATTCTTTCCCGACGCAGGTCGTTAGTCTCAGTTCCCCCGCGATTTAATTTCATTCGAACTTTTTTATCGCATGGTGATTACCCTCCCCCATCCCCCCGTACTGTATCGCTGGATCTACCCCCTTCTCTGCTCTTCCACATGCGTTGATTTTAGATGAGAAAGAACGACCGAATCGACGAGACCACGTCGCAGTCTCGCCATCGATCGATCAGGAACAAAGAGAGGAACAAAAAATGTAAACGTAGAAAAAAAGGAGGGCAACACATTCGTGAAGAGAACGAGTAATAATAAAAGTAATATTAAACAAGCTGTCGTGCAGCCTATATTGTTGGCAACGAAAATGCGATTCCGATCGCTAGTGGTCTGGTGTGTTTACGCGATCCACCTATCATCCACTCGGTGACATTGAAACCTTCTTCGTACGTTCTCCGAGAAACATCCCGAACTTGACGTTATCCGTCCTGTCATTTCCGGTGTCCCGATTTCGTTCTCCATCGAGATCTACCGTGGATGCTGTTTTGAAGTCGGGCGAGATCGGACGAAGAATTAGACATCAAATATTATTAAAGTTAAAACAAGTGGCCGAGAATGTCATTGAATCTTCATACCATAAACGAAGAAAGAAATGCCGAAAAAAAATGGAGCAATCGGAGAAATACAAAATCATCGTTGCTTAAGAGCAAAGCATCAAGAGAATTGAAAGGATCATCTACCGTAAAGAATCTATTTCCGTTGGCATCAAGAGTGACAGGAATGACTCTGCGAGTACTCTAAACCATATGTCGGAATCAACAATGGAAACTTCAACGATGCCGCAGCATTTCATAGATATTACCTTTACAACTCTCAACGTTATCCCGTTGACGATTAACGCGATGACGATCACGGAAGTTGCGAAGAACGCAACTCGCAGGATCAATCGAAACTCCTCTCGCAAACAATACAAAATCAAATGCGTAATAAAAAATTGTAAAAAGAAAAGGAAGAGAAAGACGAACATTATCGATGTACTCGATTAGGCATTTTTTCAAGATAATCTCCGGAATGTGAAAGCTTCACGAACGGAGGCGACATCGAGTTCGCTGGAGAACGTGGATCATCGACCGATCGTGGATTAAGACGAGATAATCACAACGAGATAATCACAGTTTATATACTTTTTAGTATATATCAGATGTATGAGCGTAAAATATAAAATGTTATTTGTGTGTAAAATATACATTTGGAAATGATGTATCGTAATTTATAAGATTATAAAAGAAACTTTGATATTATCAAGCAAGGAAAATATGTCACGTGGTTGTATATTTCGTTTTAAGTAGTTGAATTTATTGTTAATGTAGATAATAGAAGTAGTTGAATATTTTATAGTGAAAAAAATAAAATTCAGACAATTGCCAATTATAAACATTACATATTATTCTAACTCATTTTCTTTTGTTTTATCGCAACTGTTTCACAAAATTCTATATTACGTCATTGTTAAAAATCTTGTGACTATATAATTTAATTTTAAAATAAAGTTCTTATATATAAAATATTCACTATTCAATATCTTCAATCAAACGGATTATTGAGGTCTATTACGCTTAGTATATACGCAGACAATTTACATCAAAGTAGAATAAAATTCTATAAAGTGATTTAAAGAAGAAATATGCATTAAAAGTTGCAATGAGAACGTGTAAGTTAAATTATCGACTCATCATTTATTTAATAATCCTCTATCGTATTTTATAAATCATAATCAAAAAGGATTAGCGTAAATGAAGTTTCATCTCTCCGCAACGTTTTTGCCAGGTTTATTTCTTAGACTTCCGTTTCGCGATTACGAGCTGTATGATCGCATCCATTACCGGACGTAAAATTTTATTATTATCAAGTGTACTATGTCGATCGTTAAGCTCGTGGTTACGACAACTCTAGTAAGTCGTTATATTGAAACGCGTTTAAACAAGTTGTCGAGTAAGTAATAAAGCCGTGAAGTCAATCCTTTGGTCAGAATGGAACTTATAATCACTCTATAAAAAGGAAATCTTACCCCCCCCCGTTACTCTGAGAAAAAAAAGATGCGTTTAACAAAGATCCATTGGCTATTGTTTAATAGTATTTGCAATCCAGAGCGATAAAAAACATATAATTAACTCTTTGTAAAGAAAAAAATCACTTTGAAAGATTCTAAATAGAATTATTAATAGATAAAAAATTAATTGAATCAATATCTCCACAGTGTCCTTTGATTTATCTTATTTCATTTTGTTCAAAATCATTAAATTTTTAAAACAAGTTTCTTTAGATGCTTGGATACTTTCATTAAATCTTTTGAATGAAGTAGCCAATTAATTGCTGTCTATTGATAGACCAAAGAAAACGATACGAGATGAGTAGTCGTGACGACAGAAGCAAAAGCGAATATTTTAAAACGCCTCGTGCATCCGCGATAAAGGCTCTTAAATATTCTATCAATAGATAATAAGAAAGATAGATAACTGAAAATGCAGGAAACAGAATGCAATATTATCGAATAAATTATACGAGGCTCGCTAAATAAATGTAAATTAAATATCAAACATTTCGATCCCGTTTTAGAATTTATATATCCATCAAAAAAAATCCAAAGTGATAAATATTTAATATGTTTCGCGAGAAGTGAGACATCCTGTACAATATCGTTCTAGAAACTATTCTTGAATAGAAGAGAACTTCTTGAACCCGATCTACGTTTCTGCCGGTATGAAAAATGCATTCGTTTCCTTCTCTTTCAGCTAAAAGCCCGAGTATCGATCTGAAAGTATAAGCTTACTTGATAAAGCAATTTCTCACCTTGTTCATGCCATTCCCCATGATGCCGGCGCGATGACGGGCGCGTTGTTATAGTAATGTTACTGTTATTTAAAAGCGCGAGTCGTGCACAAATCCTCGTTCGGCCGTCCTCAGCCTCTTGAGTTTATTTCTTGACGATCCGATTCGATCCTCGTCGGCAAGGTGGAGATACAATTTGTCAAGCAACATCCTCAACGTATCGCGAACGAATCTGTCAAATCGCCGCGTATCCGCTCGTATCATCGGCAGTACGTAGCGCGAAATTGCATGGACCACGTGGCTCTCGGCTCAATCGATCTTCTCTTTCGCAGTATTATCAGTCCCTCCCTCCCTCTCTCTCTCTCTCACTCTCTCTCTCTCTCTCTCTCTCTCTCTCTCTCTCTCTCTCTCTGCCTCTGTTTTTGTCTGTCGCCTTGATTATTTATTACCCTAGCACGTCGGTAATCATTGGTGATTTATTCCTGCTCGCTAACATTATCATGCATGACGTTATTCCGAATTTTCTTCTACATTTGGAGAGCCTCGCTTATCGCTTTTGGAATCGTATTTCTCGATAAGCTGCCTACGTAACGCGAGACTGCATTTCAGAGAAGGAAAGCACGTTCTGATTCTCAAAGCGCGAGGGCGCATTTATATTCACGTCTTGCTTTTTGCGGCCTCTTTATCGAACTCCCATATGGTCGTCTCAACGGAGAGGATTTCATTTACATGCGGATTCAGTCTCGTCTGGCCTCGGGCGGCCATGGGAAACGAAAAGGGGCCGCGTTTCAAGCAGTCCTTCGGCGCGCGAGCGGGAGCGATCAACTTTTCAATACAGAGCGGTGTGTCGTGTGTGAAAAATAGAACCGTCTTTAAGAAGTTACCTGTTACGATAGTGACGCCCTGCAAGAGAAAAAAATATCGGTTGAAAAATTCTCGTAGATGATATACGTGGCTGATGCAGCGAAAATAATGATAGAAGGAATTTGTCTTGAGTATCGATTAGCGATATATGAGACACGATTGCCTCGTTCGAAAGAGGAAACGTGCGCTTATTCTTTCAAGAAAGTAGGACAAGTTATTGATAAATTGTCGTTGCCGCGTTTCTGACGTATGTCGCGTGATCTCGTCTTAAAAACAAGTAAACCGAGATTTCTCGAATAAACAACGACGCGCCTTTAAATTATGTGCGTCGAAAGCAGCTGTGTCATCGTAGAATAGAAATAGCGGATATTCGCGAAGAGTTATTATAAATGGCAATGAAATCTGTTAAAAAACTGCTGGCATTGTTTCAGAAAATGGACAGGGGACGGGGGTTTAAAGAACGCGAGTTTATCGATTACTTTAAGATCAATAAGATGGATTATAAGGACCCGGCAGTACGTTAACCCACTTTGCCAGTAGTATAGCCAGGTGTGCATATAATGGTGTCCGAGTTAGTTGGCTTCAACGAACAAATTTCTCCGTACACAATATTTAATTTAAGTAGATAGTGCGATTGATCGCACAGAGAAAATTCTGTTCACTGTCAGGGACATCGAGTCGAGATATTTCTTGGCAGAAAAATAGTGCTTCCGTGGCCAAAGTGGTGCATAGGAATAGACGTGTTTTACTTGCACACATTCGGATATGACAGAAGCACAAGGCTGCATCCGTTTATGTAAATTCTAGCCCAATATATTGGTTTGATGCTGACACGACGTATTTTGCCACATAACGGCAAAACACACTTTACGATGCAGCATGCGTTCTGATTTCGCTCACCAAGGCAAGACACACTAAATGCGTAAAACACGCGAAACGTTTTGTTTACTCGCAATTGTTTATTTTCGATGAAAATTGTAGAACGCAATAAAATATGTAATTGCGGTACGATAATGTTGAAGAAATTTCGCTTTCCTGATTTGAATTAATTAATTTGATCGACCGCCAAAAAAGAAGTTGATTGATGTAGCTGAAAGTTATATTAATTGCAATTCACGGACTCTTTACGACGATCTCCTAACTTAATCGTAACCACATCGCTAGTTAGTAAGTGAGTTAGTATGAGTTATCATTATATTATGAGTTTTAATTTATTAAAGGCGCATGACCAGGATATAAACAATTTTAGTTAAAGAGTATAGAAAGAACTTGAATGTTAAAAAAATTTCTTAAAATAAGATTTTGGAAAATATATACAAATTTTAAGATAGAAAAAAATCATGTGTTTTAAAAACGTTTTTAATTAATTTATTTATAAAATCTAATAGCTCTTTTTTAAATATAATATAACATGATATATTAAATGTCACAATTGTTTTTGCTTTTTTGAACTCTCGAATTGATACCATAAAGCTATTAACAGCTGCTAATTTAATATTTGAAAATTAAACACTGAAAAGTTAAAAGGAATATTATTTTTATTTCAAAAATATCATTTTATTCGCATTAAAACTTTCGCCTCAAAAATGAAACATTGGTCATAGTAGCTTAACACTCTATCGTGATGCAGAAAAGCAATAAATAAGTGATTGCAATACCGGAATTAAGTAATAATTTTTCATTATTTATTTACGCTATTTAATCTTTCATCAGTGATATCAGTATATCGGCATTCGATTCATAAATCTGTTCGTACAAAGAGATTTACATAATAAATAAGTATAATAATTATGCAAAATACAAAAATAAATAGGTACAATAAATATGCAAAAATGCATATTTTGATTTATTGTAATTACAGTTGGCGCCTATAAAATTCTTTCATCAATCTGATTTAATAATAATCTACATACATAAAACGTAATTTATTTTAAAGAGAGTATCTCCATTTCGGAGAGCGAAACATCGGTATTACAATCACTGATGTAAATATGAATAACCTTCTATCGGGATATTCGATATTATCCAGATTTGTGGATATTCGCAACTGGGAACGCCGCTATTTTGTTACTGTATAAAAGTTATCAATTTGCCATTCAGATTCAAATGCAATTGCATGCGAAAGTGCAGCGCATCCTCTGTGATGTTGACCTACTCTTAAAATAAAATTGCGAACCGATTTGTGTGGCCAGTAAATCTAACAAAAAAGTGCAAAAACCAATCGTATCCATCCAATCGGCGGATATTGTCATTCGAAAAGTTTTTACGGAAAGCTTTTTTTCTCGTGCAAATAAATTGCATAAATTTAATTTATTAAAATAGGAACGTGTCAGAGACGCGTATCATAAAATCCTTTCGTCAATTATATCTAGATCAGCTGTTGAATTCCCTTTGATCTCAATCTTTGATCTCGTATAAAGCGTATATTGCAATTAGCCTGTAATCAAGCTAAAAGCTGTACGTATTATAAATGATGCAGCAAATTCGCATCTAGCCGGCTGATATTTCTCTCAAAGGATCGAGACGAATGCTTTAATACTAGAACGACGATATTAGAATACTTTTTTTTACGTATATAATAACACGTATATAATACGTATAATAATTTACGTATATAATAACAAGGCAGCTACGAAGATTAATAAATGATTTCACCCGCGATGAATGAACACTTGGTTAAGAAACGCATCTGTCCAAAGGGAAAGCTCCGAAAAGAAAAAAGATGAAAAAAGCATTCGAGACGCACCTGCACAATTCACGTTCCACACTGATATCGCGAGAAAAAGATGCCGGAGAGAATCCCTTTGGGAGAGATTGTTCTGCGTTATCGTGGATTAGCTCGTTGCACTCGCGGGACGTTATCTCGCCTCTTTCTCCTTCTCTCCATCTATCTCATTCTCTCTTTCTCTCTCTATCTCCGAGATCAGCTGGTATGAACGAGAAATCATTTACACTTCGCTCAACTGCTTCCACAAAGAGGAATTCCCGAGGTGGCGGATCGCACCTCTTTAATTCCATCGTTCGGTTACACTTTCAGCCTCGTCTGTCACACACCATTGCAGTAGATTGCACCGCAATTTGTGTGCATTCCTATCTCCCTCTTTTATTCCTCCCTCTTTCTCTTTCACTCTTCTCTCTCTCTCTCTCTCTCTCTCTCTCTCTCTCTCTCTCTCTCTCTCAGCGACTCGACGGAAGGGCGCGTCGTACGAAAACTGCCCCGCTCTCGGCGAGAAGCAACGTGTGAAGAGCAGACGCAGGGGTTTTCCTAGTGGCGAACAGCGAGGGGTGAGAAAAGAGTAGAGAAAAAGAGAGGTGTAGCAAGAGAGAGAGAGAGAGAAAAAGGCGGGGTGCACGCAAAGTGGGGGAAACTGGACTGCGACGACGAGGAAGGAACGAGGAAGGATGGCGGAACAGCGGCTAGAGCAACGTGCAGGATAGTGGGGTAGATCCTATCACCGCGCGCGAACAGCTTGTCTCGAATGCGCGTTTCGCCAGTTCCGACAAGGCACAGTTCGTCCTGAGACAGGGTTTCGAACCTGACACCTGAGGTACCTTCTGGGAACACCAGACTTCGAAATCAGACGAGTAATGGACAAACGGGGCAAATCGTCGCAGGGCGAGAACAGTTGTACACTTGGAGGTCGCGCACCTTTGAGCTCTCGTATTCGAAGCACTATTGCGATCGATTGCAGTGGACAACGTCTGGCCCGTCAGGCCAGATCAGCTCGATGTTTCGATAACGAGAAAGGATATCAAGTCGTTCCTTTAAGGAGCTATTCTCACCCGCCGCACCGCATATGAAAGTGGAGATACGAGCGTCTAGATCCGCGGCCGCAACAAGGAACAAGGAGAATCATATCACTCTTTCTCACCCTTTCTCTTTCTCTTTCTTTTACGTAGAGCCGACGCAGACGCCGCGAATGCCCGACGTCGTCGTTCTCACCCCGTCCGCGGGAATCTGCGTCCCGTTCAAATTCATTGCCATGAGGTGGGCGAGGATGAAGGTGGAAATCTCGTAACAGATTTGTCGCGACGGAATGGGAAGGGGTAGAACGTGTGAAACGCGGTGGGGATCGACAGGACCGAATTGAGACAGTTCGGATCCTAGCTCGAGATGAAGAGGCTTTATCTTCGCGGGAGTCGGATGTCGTAGAGGATTTTCTGGAATTTATGAAAATAGCATAATCTTTACCGAATCTAACTAGATCTTAGATAAACGGCGGTATTTACAATCTCGTTATGAGTCGGAAATCTTTAATTAAGAAGTAGGTCTCCACTCAAGGGTCTTAAGTGAGAATTTCTTCGCTGGAAGATTAACGACTTCTTTATCTAACCAACAAGGGCTGAAACTTCTCACGATGTCTTCTAAACGAGACAGCAGCTACGCGTTCCGCGAAGTTATCGATGACGTGTCGGAGGGGGTAATCCGCCCCTGGGGGTGAAAACGTCGAGAACGGCGGCGTTAGCGTTGGAGCGAGCTCGCGCAGAAGCCGCTCGATAAAGGCCGTTCTCATCCCCTAACTC